ATCAAGTAGCTTTTGGAATAAAACACCAATTTTTTTAAAATTAAACACTATCTAAAGATTTGCATCGAAGCGTTTATTTTTGATAGTGATTTTAATCACTGTCAGATATCATTATACTTGATCCAACTATGCCACGTCACCACTGTGCCGCGACCCCCCTGTGCTGGGTTTTTTTTATAGATACCTTAAGTATTTACCTATCATTTTATATATTTTTGTATAGATCAATATTATTATTTTTTAATAATAAATATTTATATACCCCTTTCATCTGACATTTTTGTAAATCGGATCATTCCCCTTTATAGAAGGGGGGTCAAAACTTTAAACATGCTTATTGATTTATATATATCTTAAATTAAAGCTTATGTAATATACTTTAATTTGAAAAAAAAAATTGACCTCTGGATTTGTCTTCATGGTAAAAATGACTACCGTATTCAAAAATATGCTATTTTTGTGTTAAAGTTCTGGTTTTTTTTTTTCATTTTATTTTAAAATATCTGACAAGGGGAGTACAGATTTTTCAAAATATTATATAACTAAAAAATTGATATAGCATAGAAAGTTAAACTTATTTAAATTTTTCTTTTTGAAGTCCGAGAAAAATAACTTTGAAATTTGAATTAGCTTAAATAACTAATTTTTTCAATCGACAGTAGCGACATACAGTTGCCGAGTCGGTAAAACTTGTGTTATATGCACTTGGGGTACAAGTTCCAATCCGCATATGGCAATGACTCTTTTGCATTTTTTACAAAGTTATACAATATAATATAAATTAATAAAAATGAATGTCCCAACAACTAGTCTAATATACATATATGTCGCCAAAAGTTAAACAAAACATTAATAGTGTGAAAAAATCATTGTTATTGGTCATATTATAATTCTTCTTCATTTTTTTTTTTAGTTATTTTTGCTTTCAGTTTAGATCGAACAGAATAGTCATATAAGAGGTAGCATAAGTACCGTCATTTATGCCCATTTTACAAAAAAAAATAATAATAATAAAGATTTAAATATTAGTCATAAATTTTTTCAAAGCATATTTTTAGAAATTTCAATGTTCATCAAATAAAAATGTAAAGTAAGAGTAGAAGTGGTAGTAAGTACCACTCATAATCCTACTTAATTATCGTACAGTATGAAAGTATAATCAAATTTATCATATAAATTATTAAAATAAATGCGACAAATTGATAATAATTTATTGTTGCGCAGTTGAACATTGTTTGCTCAGTTGGAAATTTTTTTATTTAGTTATTTTAAGCATCTTAAAATTACAAACTTAAACTACAGAATACTTGTATTTTAATTAACATTTTTTTATATATTATAATAGTTAGTTCCAATTTTTAACAAAAAAACAATGTAGTTATTTTTAGGTGGATAAATAGTGATGAGTGAGGGAAGCTATTGAAGCCTCTTATTATTTTATAATAGCTTATTTTGCTTAATATCGTTTCGTGTTTTTTTATTGGTGAGTTGGCTACAGTTATACTAACCCATTAAGCAGCGATATTAAAATATATAATTTAACATTATTTGTGGAATTAGTCAATTTTTTAACAAAGTTATTTTGAGCATTTTAAAATTACAAATTTAAAAAGCTATGATATCATCATAATAGTGTGTTTAAATTCTCAATACCAGAAAAAAACAGTGTAGTTATATAAAAATGGGTAAAACACTCCGCGACGTAGTTTAATAATATTTTAGGTGTTTGGAATTGAAGAAATGTTATATTATTTTGTAGTAGTTTCTTTTAACTTAATATCATCTAAAAGTAAAATATTTAGTAAATTATTTGTCGTTCAATGAAGTTTTCTTTTTTTTTTTTTGGAATAGGTACAGTTGTATCATCACACCCTGTCAATACCAATGAGATAAACAATTTTTAGAACACTCCGACGTAAGGAATGTTAAAACTCATATTTATTTTTTTCCTCGTGTGCTTGTAGTTTTTAAAACACAAATACGAGGTGTGACATTAAAATAACGAGACTTTTTTAATAAAAGTTATTTATTTTAAAAATTTTACAATTTAATGATTGTCACCTTCAAAGTACCTTCTCTCAGTATCAACACACTGTTGCATACGTCGCTGCCATTCTTGAAAACAATATTGCCAATCGCTTTCAGTTAGCCCTTTTACAAGTTCTGCCGTTTTCATTTTTACGTCATCAAACGTTTGAAAATGGGTTCCTTTTAAAAAACTTTTAATTTTTGGGAATAAGAAGAAGTCACAAGGAGCAATATCTGGCGAGTACGGGGGATATTGAAGTATAGAAATATTTTTTTCAGTTAAAAAACTTTGAATTGAAAATGTCTTGGTGAAGAACCCAGCCATTCTTCCACAGATCTGGTCGCTTTTTTCTAACACGATCTCTTAATTTAATTAATACATCTTTATAATAATATTGGTTGACAGTTTGCCCATTAGGAACCCATTCAACAAAAATTATTCCCTTAATGTCAAAGAAAACAATGAGCATTGCTTTGAATTTCGACTTGTTCATTCGTGCTTTCTTCATTCTTGGGGAAGTTGATGTCTTCCAATGCATAGATTGCCTTTTAGTTTCAGGATCATATGTAAAAAATCCACGTTTCTTCACACATAATGATATTATTTATAAAAGATGGATCATCTTTGATAATTTTTAAGGTGTCAGAACAAATTTCTTTGCGATTGGATTTTTGATCAATCGTCAAATTTTTAGGGACCATTTTAGCACACAATTTTTTCATATATAAATTTTCAACTAAAATACGAACACTATCTCTATCAATATTTACCATCTCTGTTACAGCTCTAACACTTAATCGACGATCTTGCCGAATAATTTTGTCAATTTTTTTTAATTTTTCGTTTGTTGAACATGTGGTACGACGTCCAGAATGATCATCGTCTTCCACGTCCTCTCTTCCATTGCAAAACCGTTTGTGCCATTAAAAAACGCGAGCTCTTGATAAACATTCTTCACCATAAACTTCACATAACATACGAAATGATTCTGTGTCAGTTTTTTTTAATTTAACAAGAAATTTAATGTTAACACGTTGTTCGATTTTTATATCTAACTTTTTTCGGCAGTATAGTCGAATTTGCACTAATAACAAGGTTACTAACGTATAAGAAAGTTAACCGATTTCATCATTGTTTATAGTACTTTTAGATAAGTTTTTCATAATCATATTTCAATAATAGTTTTATAGATAACGTTAATAGTTTAGGGTATATTTAGAAAGTCTCGTTATTTTATTGTCACACCTCGTATTTATGTGTTTAAAAATTATTTTTATTATAGTGATGTAAAGCATACTAATATTAAAATTAATATATTTCAAATTTTTAATTAACTCTTAGGTTTATAGGATAGCTTAAATTATTGATATATAATTCATAGAAAGCCTAAAAATCAATAAGTATAGAGTAGTTTAACCTATTAATTAAAATCAGGGATGTGTGATGGCAAAGCACACCCACTTTAATGACCTAAAATAATATAGAAATAAATAAATTATACTTAATTACTATCTGTCGGATTTATCAACTGAACAAATCCAAAATGTTCGTAATTATTCTTAATGACTACAGTGTAAAATAAATTAACTTTATAATACATAAAAGAGACAAAAATTGTGTAATTTTTGTTGTGTAATGAATATTCTTTGTCACATATAATTTTTAAATTCACTTTCTCACCGTTATTTATCATAGATTTCTTCTTCTCGAAAAAGTTATTGCAAATATAGATACATAATCAATAAACTCTTTGATAACGAGAATGCTTGATGATTAACATTAAGATTCTCATTCTGAATATTTTTTAGGAAGTAGTCAATCGTTTCATGGATGATGTAACTAAAGTGGCGTATTGAAGAGTTGCTCAAGACAAACGTTGATATTTGTATGACACGTGAAGAAACTGAAGAACATATAAAAAAAACCTGCTGTGACTTGTGTAAAGGTGGTTTTACAGAGAAAAAACATAGTGTAGCAGACCATGATCATTTGACAGGTAAATCATACACATACCTATGTTAAATGTATTGTAATTAATATAAAAAGAAAAATGTATATATATAAATATATATTTGTTTCAAATAGTTTAAGAAAAACGCTTTGTAAAAATTGAAATTTAAAATTAACAACGCCCAAGTTTGTTAACGTATATTTTCAATTTTTAGTTAAAGTCCTTGGAAGAGATACTAGTAGAATCAGTGTAATACCTGCTACAGAATAAATATATTTTTCTTTTTCAAAATTTGTTTCAACACAAGATTTCGCTAAGGTTCGTAGATACATTTCGATTTATATGAGTAATAGTTTAGCGGCTCTCGCTGACATAAAATTATTCGGAGAAACCGTAAAAGCATTTTTAGGGGACGACGACATTGATTTAGTGATACGTAAAGGCGTGTACTTGTTGTATACCTCCATTTGAGATGTATTAAAAAAAAAAAATTGCCATCAAAAGTCGATTTTTATAATGAACTGTTAGAAACACATATTGATGAGTCTGAATACGAACGTTTGGCAACATTTCAATTGTAAAATGCTTGTTGAGTACTCTGTCTTGTACCTGAAAACTGACGTATCAATACTTGCCGATGTTCTTACAAATTTTCGTAAATTATGTCTATTAAAATATAAATTGGAACCGGCATATTATTTTACGAGTCCCGCTCTGTCTTTTGACGCTATGTTTTTACGCATACGGACATACGGGCGTTTCACTAGACCTCATGAGCAATTATGAACAGCAACTTTTTATTGAGAGAGGAATACGGAGAGGAATGCCAAGTTCACTGTTGAAACATGCCATATCCAACAATGAAAAGATGCCTCAGTATGATATTAAACATCAAAAATCTGAAATTATATATTTGGATGTCAATAATTTGTATGGTTGGAGTATGTCTCAACATATGCCATGTGATGACTTTAAGTGGTTAGACGTGGACGGCGAAGCAAAAATTTTAAAGACAGTGAAAGAGTTACCGGTGGATTTTCCTGTAGTGATGGCCCTTGAAGTGACGAGTCGTATCTGAAAGAGTTACAACGACGAAATACCGTTTCTGCTTGAACGAATATGTCCGACTAATTCACGGGTCAAAAAACTGTTGTCTACTTTCAATCGAAAAGAAAACTATGTTGTACATTATCTAAATTTAAAACAGGTCATGGCAAACGGATTAAAAGTAGAAAAGGTAATTCATAAAATTATACTTTAAAAATATATTATTAAATTACAGGTGCATAAGGTGTTACAATTTAAGCAGTCGACAAGGCTAGCAAAATATATATAACTCAATACGGAGACAAAACAGAAAGCCTAAAATGATTTCGAAAAAGACTTTTTCAAATTAATGAATAACTCTGTTTTTGGTACGTTTTAAAATTAAATAAAAAATGAATAAACATAATTTTAATGCGATTTCGTTTGTTAACAGGTAAAATGATGGATTTTGCACAATTAATAATGCAAATGGAACTGGTCAATAATCCTAAACGAGCGACTAAATTGATTAAAAAGCATAATTTCAAACATTGTACAACGTACAGTGAACATTTATTGTATTGGAATAGAAAATTATCGATTTTTGTAAACCAGTATACGTAGGTTTTGCAATTTTAGAAATTAGTAAAACTTTTGTAAGCCCAACCAATCAGTGCTTTGACGTGTAGTAACGCTATTGATTTTACGGTAAACGATAATATATTTTCTTTACTTACCACTCGTTGACATAGCCCTCGAATCATTTTGATTTCCTATAGCAATATTATAGTCCACATCATACTTTACGAGATCTAAAATAATACACTTCTATTAACATTCTACTAATATATTTTCTCTTTTATTATTACTATTTATTAAATAATAATTGTAATACTCACGGTGAATTGTCTTAACATAACGTGAGAGTGCCCATTTGTCCGAAAAAGTAGATGGTCATAAATAACACTTAAATCATATACCATCGTTACTCTTTTGGTAACATACTAGTCCTCGTTTGAATGCAAACACACTTTTTCACACTTGTCACAAGAAAACATTTTTAAGACGTTTAACTGACACAACACTATTAATTTTACTCGAGTAATAATCCATCTATTATGCGAAAATACTCATTAAATGTAACAAAATGAATTATTAACTTGGGGAATCGCAAAACATATATCCCCGTATATTAACCCCCATTCCTTCACCACTTAATCATTTCTATTTCGTTATTACTTATTAATTACAATTTAATAAGTAATTTCTAATAAACTATTCATTTTTTCATAGTATATGCACCCTTCTTAAGTGGTAGCGTACCCCCCACATAAAGATTTACTCTTAACCACCCCATACTTGTGTTACCAACTGTACTAGCTAAGAGAGAGAGGAGAGCCCCTACATTATAATCTTAACCTTTTACCAAGCCATGGGAAGGATAACTTATGCCTTTAACCATATCCCCCGACCCGCAAATCTCCTACATTCATACCTCAGGCAGGGTAAACCCACATGATGTGGGTTTGGGAGGTATCCATCTCATATATTACACATTTACTTAAGTTATCCATAGACTTTCATCTAATTTTAATACAAATATTATCTATTCTTTCAATAAAATATCTTAAGTATCGCTTTTAGTAATTTTACCATCTACAGAGATGATATTGTATTGAATTAGAGATATAGTTAAAACAATTATCTCAAGATTCATGTCAATTATAGTAAAAATAAATGTCACAACGTCTTCTTCTTCTTCTTCTTCCTCGCTTTAATCCCAACTACTTGGGGTCGGCCATCCTTATACTAAACTTCCACTTGACACGATCTCTCACATCCTCTACGCTCACTTCGACTGTCCTCATATCGCATTCAATAACGTAATATAATAAATTAAAATACCAGACAATTTTCTAGTATAGGTAATTAGTCTATCGCCAGAGAGAGAAATACCATCTCCAATCACTAAACTGATGTATTGTTCAGCAAATGGAACTTCCCGATACCTGTTGTGACCTAGTCTCGAACCTGAGACAGTACGCATCAGGCACTGCCGCGTTACCGACTCGGACACACCATCCCATTAAAAATAATATAACATGATTATTTGTCATATTGTGTTATACTTAGATAGGTAAATTTATCAAATAATTAAATAAAAATAAAAACTAATTTATTCGATTATTTTATTTTAATATAATGCAGAATATTGCTAATGTGTGCAGTATTTTCTTTACAATAAAATAATTTTTTTTCTTAAAGTCTGGTATAAAACAAACCTATTGAATCTTATGAACATTAATTAAAACTTTTTCAATCCCTTTATCTGTCATCTTTATTCAAAATACTTATTTTACATCTTTGAATTTTTTGCCAAAGCAAATATTTTTTCTCCAAAAAGTATATTTTCTACAATAACTTTGGCATAACTGTCATTAGACCAACTATCAATTATTCAATTATCCATTTTAGTATGAATATGTTTCTTTTTTCATCATTAATATGAAATATAAAATTTTCAAAATTAACATATCAATATGGCTGTAAAATTTTTGGTATATCAATTTAAATAGGTCCTTTGCTGGGACTTTCTTTAAAAATGGAAAATAGTAAAACAAAAAAAACTATAAAAATGGTGTGATAATACTCCCTTGAAAACAATAGCCCCTGTATAATGTAATATTTGAGGAATTTCTATAGCTTTATAATAAGTAAAAGTATTAAGTGTAGTTAATGAAACATGATAAAGAAGAAAAAACCGTAAATTATTAAGTGAAACTTATCAAATTTTATTACGCTTTGCATTTTATTTATTTTAAGTTAAACAGAGTATATGCATATAATTTTTGCATGGAGCCTAACAGTAAAAATAAAAATAAAACGCTGGTTCTGATTTTTAAAATTAGTAGTTGGTATAGACAAAAAAATTTTACCAAAATTTCCTGTAACACTTTTCTATGATGACAAATAAGTGATTGATTAATTTATCGTTGACTACTAGGTTTCATCTAAATTAATGATAATTTTGACGAATATTTTTAAGTAGTACTTAATTTTTTATTTATACTCTTAAACATTCACTATATCCACCCTCAAATCTCCTACATTCGTACCTATGGCAGGGGTAAAACCACATGATGTTGGTATTTGTATCCAGCTCATATATAACACATATATTAACTTACATTTATGCAAAATTTCAAAATATTTAATAAGCTAAGTATTTTCTATGATGTTGTTCATATTTTAAACTAAAAATATAACGAAATACTTTTAAAATTTGTTAAATATTGTTGTTGATGAATATTTACACTTTTTTAATACTGAATTATTAGAAAATTTTAACGAATGTTTATTTTTAGTTGAAAAAGCAATAAAAAGTTTATTGATAATGTTTGAGAGTTTATACAATGCATTGATATTTATAATCTATATACACTTAACGTTAAAAAACCTTAAACTTGACTTTCACAAGTTAAATACTAATCCGATCCCCATATATGACAATATATATATGAGACAAAAAACAACAAATATTTAAAAAATATTCAGAATGTGAATCTTATTGTTAATCATCAAACATTATCGTTATCAAAGAGTTTATTGATTATGTATCTATATTTGCAATAACTTTTTCGAGAAGAAGAAATCTATGATAAATTACATAACAAAAATTACACAATTTTTGTCACTTTTATGTATTATAAAGTTAATTTATTTTACACTGTAGTCATTAAGAATAATTACGAACATTTTGGATTTGTTCAGTTGATAAATCCGACAGATAGTAATTAAGTATAATTTATTTCTTTCTATATTATTTTAGGTCATTAAAGTGGGTGTGCTATGCTATCACACATCCCTGATTTTAATTAATAGGTTAAACTACTCTATACTTATTGATTTTTAGGCTTTCTATGAATTATATATCAATAATTTAAGCTATCCTATTAATCTAAGAGTTAATTAAAAATTTGAAATATTTTTATTTTAATATTAGTATGCTTTACATCGCTATAATAAAAATAATTTTTAAACACATAAATATTTGTGTTTTAAAAACTTAAAACTACAAGCACACGAGGAAAAAAATAAATATAAGTTTTAACATTCCTTACGTCGGAGTGTTTTAAAAATTGTTTATCTCATTGGTATTGACAGGGTTTGATGATACAACTGTACCTATTCCAAAAAAAAGAAAACTTTATTGAACGACAAATAATTTACTAAATATTTTACTTTTAGATGATATTAAGTTAAAAGAAACTACTACAAAATAATAAAACATTTCTTTAGTTCCAAACACCTAAAAAAAATATCGGACCACGTCACTGAGTTTCCAGAAGCACTTTTCTATTATGACAAACAAGTGATTGATTAATTTACGTTAACTACTAGGTTTCATCTAAAATAATGATAATTTTAACGAATTTTATTTTTATTTAATTAAGTAGTCGTCAATTTTTTATTTATAAATAGTTAAGGATACCAACTGAATTTTATAAAATACGAACATTTATAATTAATTTAATTTTTTATTCGATAGTAATATATATAAGAAAATACTGGTCGTCAACAACTTTTGTACAAGCATTTCAGAAGTTATCAACACTTTTACACCTACACAATAGGGGAGGAGTACGGACAAGTGATAAAAATAACGTGATCTAAGTCTCGCCACCAGTCTACATTAAAAAATATTAATAACTTCCGAAACACTAACTTAATAATAAAACAGAATAAAAACAATATTATAAATATTTGCTCGAATAAAATTCTATGTTATTATATTTTATTAATATTATTTAATTTTTAACCGTTCAAAAAAATTGAGCTGACTTTTTAATGAAAGTTTTTAATAAAATTTAGATTATTTAGTATGATTACATTGAAGTTTCTAGAACGTTAAGTGCTAATAATCTCATTTTTACTAAATTTATTTATATTTAATTTAACTTAAACTATACTATAGTAACAAATAAAACTATACAATGTTTTAGGTATAAAATAGTTTACTAAAAATACAAAAATTAAAATTATGCACCAGTGGTGATATAAATTATATTTATTATCATCAAGATTTTGATTTAAAGTTACATAGTAGGTAAATCTTTAGACTAGAAAAAACAGGAGTTTAAAGAACAAATGGATAATGTATTGTGGCGAATGGTGACAGTGCAGTACCATCTTGCTTAATCGCATTCATAGTTATAGTTATGGGTTCTTGTAGATTAACAGGGTGTACAAAAGTAATACATCGACCTGGGCTGTGGATCCTTTGCACGAATTTTTCATTCAAATATAACTATAAAAATAACAACAAGTATTAAACATTACTGTTTAAGATTTAATATAATAATAAAGTTACTTCAAAGCAGCTTATTATATTAGGTTTTGGAGGTTTCCATGCCAAAATTAAGCCATCGAGTCCTATTTGTCTAACAACATGTAATCCAATTGGATTGTACGGTCTAATTAAACAAAAATAGTCTCGGTCTTCTATCTAACGAATAATATAAAATTGTGTGCATTGATTTTTAAAAAAATATATTAGAGCTACATTTAAAATGACTAAAAAGTCACCAAAATTACAGTATTAACCATCTTACTTTTTCATCCTGGTTGTTTATCACGTAATCCCCATTTAAATATTTTTCTATGTTGGAAAAATCAAAATCGGGTGCAAAACGCCTAGAAGGAATCGAATTTAACTCTTTAGCAATTTCCAAATGCCTATTCCATTTATTGTGTTCTACCAAGTATAAAAGTTCATCTGCCAACGACATGATAATTTTATTTTTTTCTGCATTTTTGGCTTCTAGTATAACTGCTTCTTTGGTTAGTTCACAAGTTGTTTGTTTCAATACTGACGGGCATTTAATTTTTTTCTTAAAAAATAGATAAAATACAAATTTTCTTATCAAACAAATTATTTGGTATATTATTTTATATATTAAATACATACCGAACACTCTGATTTGGAATAATCTAAAAAAAATAAAAAAATAAATTATAGTTACTAACAATTTATAGCAAAAATAATTACTTTTAAAATTCCTAGGTAATGAACTGCAACAACTGACACCTTGTTTTGGTTCCGCACTAGAATTAATTTTATCGAATTTTTGTAAAGTTCTTGTTATAATAGGTTCGATATTTTTTGCACAATCATCGCAAGTCTGAAGAAAAAAATTTCTTTAAAAATTGCCAATAAAAATAATCAATGCTTATTAATAACTTAAATAAAAAAATTGATGCATCTACAAATGCATCATTTAAGGTAATGTTAATTAATTAAAATAATAACCGAATACTGAAAATTATTGCATAAACAATCTTTACTGTTCATTAAAAAATTTCAGTTGTATCAATTTTTATCGAAATTAAAAATATTGGAATGTAAAATATTTAAATGAAGATTAAATACTGTTACTAAGGTTCAAACATGTTTTAATTTTACAGTAATATTTACCATCAGCTGTTTAAGTTTAGATATCTCTATAGTATTTTCAAAACTGTTGGATAAATTTGCACCGTCAAAATTTAATCTTCCTCTATTAGACTAAAAATTAAACAATTTTAATTAATAAAATTTACAAAAAAAATATATAATAATAATAATAACACTTATTTTAAATACATTTTCAAATAATAATTCTTCAGCTGCATTTTTTGACCCACTGTATGATATTTGTTTTTCTAAGCTATCGATTATCTCTAGCTTTTGTGAAAGTTCTTGATTTAGTTCAACACTAAGTCTTTCCTTAGACTCTTTTTCTGCGGCTAAAGCATTTCGTAGCTCTTTAATATGTGCCTAGAAATATTTAAAATGGAATTACTATTATATTTGTCTTTCAATTAATAAAAACGGTAGCACAGTATAGACATGGTATAATTGGGATAAGTATAGATAATATCTGGCAATGATTTTAATCACTGTCGTAAGAAACGCTTCGATGCAAATCTGTAGATAGTGTTTACAAAAGCAACATTAACTCCTATTACCTGAATTATATTCTTATTATATTAATTATAATTAAAAGTATAATTTATGAATAAATATTTACTATAACAATTAAATATAGTATAAAATATTTAATAATTTAAAATTGTAATTTTTACGAAGAAATAAAAAAATGATAAAATAATGAAATACTTCATAAAAATTTATTTTTATTTATGAATAAATACATTGGTCTTCAAGAAACTTTCATTGGAATCAAAAATATACTTTACTAAACCAACTTTTCGCTCTGTTTTCAACTCTAGAATTAGACTTTTTCTATCACTTCTAGGTTTTGATATTATTACTAATTATTAAAAAAAACCGAGAATTATAATAGAAAAATAGCATATTTTTGAAAATAGGAGCCATATTCATAACGAAAACAAAGAAAAGTTCAAATTTTCATTTGTTCATATTAAAGTATATATAGATTCGCATCGAAGCTAAAAAAATATATAATAAAAATTGATCACTTGTGGCTAATTAATGAAATTAAATAAAAAATATTATTAATTTAAAAACTAAAAATATTTAAGTCAAAAGCCACAAAAAAATTACTGAAAAGTCGCGGATACGTATTATTTAGCGATGACGTCACTAGCTGATAAGGTCATTAGGGGTATGTAAGGGAATTTATTGAGTTTAATATTAAATATTAAACTCAAAAAACTAAAACATTTTTTTAGTTTTTAAATTAGTAATATTTTTAGTATTGTTTTATTTTTTTATTTTTTTTTTAATATTTCATATGGATTAGTATAGATATGATTTTTACCTCGAGAGTTTCTACTTCTTCTTTTAATTCTCCATTCGTAACATCATGCTCGTCGATTTGCTTAGTTAGTTTTAAAATAATAGTTTGATAATTTTTTGCCTTAAAATAAAATCTCATTTATCAATCAATCTATTTTTCTAAATTTTTTTACTAACCTCTTTAATTGCTTTCTCGTCAATTTCCGTTAAAAGAGATTGCTTAAAGTTCAAATCTCTCAGAATTTCATTTAACTTCATTTTTTCACAATCTAAAAGTGTTTTAAATTTTCCATTTTCCGATTTAATTTCACACATTTCATTCACTAGTTGTTCCATATCATTTCTAAGTTGACTTTCACGGCGAACTGATGACTGTTTTTCGATTTCTTTAGATTTAAGTTTATGTACTAAATCCCGAACTTCTGTTTCTAAGGTATGTATCCTATCTAAATGATCCGACTCCCTGTTTCTTGAATCAACTGATATTCTCATTATTTTTTCGCGATCTACTAACAACTTTTGCTTTTCAGCTAATTCGGAGTTCAGTTCGTCGATTTGTTTTTTATAACCTTCTTCGACATTAGATAGTATACTATCAGCTTGTTGTAAAGTTTGTTGGTAGACATTTTCTTTTAATTCAAGATCTTGTACTTGCTTTTCTAATTCCATTTTTTCTTTCGTCATAATTCTTAGCTTTTCTAAATTGTCTTCATCTGAATAAGAAGATTTCTTTTCTACTATTACTTTATGTGTTCGATTTTTTCGATAATGCTTGCATACCATGCGCCAAATATTCCATAAAACAATAGCAGGCCATGCATTTTCTAAAAGTTGTAGTTTACATTTTGATTCCATTTCAGATTCTTCCAGTTCAAAATTACGCTGCTCGTATTTATTAACTAATGCTTCCATTGTAGCAGCATGTTTACGCGCTTCGCATTTTTTAGTGTCTACTTCTATTAGCTCTTGTCGTAGTTTTTCTATTTGTTTAGACTTTTTAATCAACTCAGCCTCAAGTGAATTATTTGTTTCGGCTAATACCAAAAATTTGCTTTCCAACCTGAAAAATAATTTTAATTAATAAATTTAACAATACTCAATGGTTTTTATTTTATTTATGGTTTAAAATATAATATTTTACTTTTGACACCTCAGTCGAGTATCATTTTCTGCTTCTTCAAACTCACATTTTTCTTCTTCCAGGAGTCGATTTTGTGTCTTCAATTTGTCCAAAGTAGTATACAAGATTTTTAATTCGTTAGATAGCTTTGATTCTTTATCAATAGATGTTGCCAATAGTTTGATTTTTGTATCACCAGAACTTTCGTAAGCTTCAACCTTTTTTTCTAAAATTTGCCAATGGTCTTTATAAAACGATAATTCTTTGGCAGTACGATCATCAACTAATGGCACTTTGCGTTCTTCAATTTTTTCTCTTATTCTAGTTAATTTTCGAAGCTCTTCCGTTAGATCTGTGGAAAGATTTTCGTCAGTCGTATTAACTAAATTATCAGTCTGAGTTGCTTCCGAAACGGATTCAGTGTATATGTCTTCCTCAAATATACCACTCTCTTGAAGACAGTCCGGGAACACTGACTTGTGACGATCGTTTTGATTTATTTCAGTTAATCGACATTCAAAATGTCTAATGAGACTAAGAACTTGTTGGATAGTAGATCGGTCTTCAACGCAATAACAAACGCTATTACACATTTCTATTAGACGCTGCTTAATAATATCACATCGTCCAATGTCCTAAAATACATTATAAAATAAATATAAAGTTTAAAAAAAAAAAATTGATTACTTATGGCTTATATTATTTATGTATAATTAAACATTAATGATTATGCTTTCTTTTATTTTAAAGTAACACTCCTTCATAAAAACTGATAGATGCTCATTACATTTTCTTTAAAATCTAGTTAGATTTATGTGAAGTTTATACCAAATATATAGATTAATAAATAGATAATACTGTAATATGTTGTGTTTTCAACGTATAACATTGAATATGTATTAATTTTCTCGCAGACGTAGTTTTAATTTTCAAGGATAAACCAAATTTGTATAAAATTATTAATCTTAACAATACAATAGAGCAGCAGTCTATTTAAAATAAAATTGATTGTGTCAAACCTCAAACTCAACCTTGGTACATTTTACTTATTATGAGACATTCGTATTTTTATTATGTAGTAATATATATTAAAAGGAAACTTACTATATCGTTTTCTTGTTGATCGCCTTCACAACAAAAATCATCACTTGTTGTTAAGGACATGACACCGGAGTCACTCATGTCTTCAATGGTTTCTCGGTGTTGAATTTTAATCTGAAAAAAAATTGTTAAAATTTGAAACAATGCCATTTTTATTTGATAAATAAATTGACTGTTTGAAGTAAACAAAAAGAACATAATAATTCTTTATATATAAATTATTATTTTCAGTTATAATTTATAAGCTATAAATTGTAACCTTTGAAAATTATTCATTATAAACACAATATATTATATTTTTCTTACGTTTTATATATAAATTGATAATCATAAGTAACTAAAAATTTAATTGTTTGTTATAATTTAAATTTAAAATAAACTTGATTATTTGATTTGTCTTCTCTCAATACTCCGTATATTTAACTTGATTTATTTTACCTTATTTGTGGTTTCAGTGTCTTCTAATTCCAGAAGTCTGAACTCGAGCAATTCGTTATGCTCAAGTGATTCTTTGAGTTGTGTTTGAAGTTTATTCACTTCAGATAAAAGGTCATTGTTAGTTTTAGTTAATCGTTGAATTTCTCGTTTATCTTTTCGAAGGGTCGAATCATTTAGCTGTTGCATTTGCAAATTTTTATAAACTCGCAGCAGCTCGGAATGCTTCTCAAACAATAAGGAGTACATTGTTTCTAAGTCCATACTCTATAAGATAAGATTTTTTTTTAATATTATTTTAAGGTGAAAATAAAATATTTACATAGAAATGTGATAATAAATTTAAATATTTATATATTTTTTAAAAGATTAATGTAACTTTTTTAAAATATCATGTAAAAAAAATTGTAAGGTATTTTCTTAAATATTGTATTTATCAGTAGCGCACTAAATATTTTTGGTACTAAGTTCTAATTTTTATAAGTCAAAAATATTATTTGAATATTTTGCTTCAATAATCTACTTAAAATACATATTTTTTTTACTAATTACCTGTGGTAATTTATTTTCCTTATTTATTAAATCCAAATCTATAAGATCCGTTGTTAAACGGTTTTCGGTGTTAAAAGACTTTTTTCGTACATCTAATGTATCTTGAGCTACTAATTTAGTAGATTTTGATAATGTACTTGAAACCTGCGAACCGTATAAACACAATCATTGTATAGAGAAATAAAACATCTTATAAGAAAGAGTCAATGTTTAATTTAAAAAACAACAATCATCATTAAAATAATGACCTTAGGTTGAAGAAAATATACCTTAATATTGGTGAGTCGGTCAGTGGATTTTGATGAATAAGTCTCAGAAGTAATATCATTCTGTTTATAAAACAAAATAAAATTAATTATTTATCTAATTAAACTTAATATTAACTATTTAAACTAATAAAAAGTTTAAATAGTTATTAGAATAATAAAAAACATTGTGTAAAATAAATAACGCGTTATAATTGATACGAGAAAATATATTTAGTACTTTCCTAGTCATTTTTTTAGGTTAACCGAAAACAGGCGGTAGCCTGCTAGTTTTCTAACAGTTCATTTTTGTCGGAACCACAATTTATGTCTCTATTGGCCCTTTTTTTCTCATCAGTTAAGAATCTTTTAAGCGAAAAAGTCATTATGTCTATAATAATAGATAAAATTGGACCCCTTAGACGAGCGTTGAATTATGTCCCTAATTCAGTCACATTAACATAAAGTTTAGTATTTTGAAATCTAAGTACTTAAAATTTACTATCAGACAAATTGACCAAGACTGATGAGCTGACTAAATAAAAATTTCATAATTTCGTATTATTTAACACAAACTAACATTGTGTTTGGTGATAACGGCCAAGTGATAAACTGTTTAATGGTTAGACCCATGTCTAACAACTCAGAAATCATGGCTATTAGATCATAGTGCATTGATAAATTTCGCGTGCATACAATACAACCCGTCATTAAATACACCATTTGCAGATAAAAAAAAAAGATACTCGTATATATCGACAATAGAAGGGGCTATGATGATAATTACACTTTTCACAAAGAATCACGAATTTATCTTTCTTAACCGCAACTAAAGAACTAAATTACGATGTACGTTTATTCGTGTCCGTATGGATAGGTAACCGTCAAGAGAAAGCATTCCAAAAGATATATTAATATAAATTTATATGATGATAGTAGTAAAACAGCCGTTACGCATATTTACTATTTTACGATACACATTGCACGAACATAATCATATGTACAAAATTATTGGTCATAACCATAAACGTTGTTGGAAATCATTGAGAAAACACGCAAGTAGGTATACGACTTAAACCCCAATCGGGTATGTTTATAGAAATTCTATACTATATTATCCACTGTATAGGAATACTTACATGTTACAATACAGTGCTATGCATGAGCACGTCTTAGTCAAACAGTTACGACCCAATGATTAAAGTAAAAACCTAAGGTAGTATTTAAATTGTTTGAAACAATAAGTATTCGAGACTTTCTCAAATATAACGTTTTAATTAGCTATTAGTAATGGTGAACAATAATGCAAAAAAAAGTAAGCGATCAAATTCATTTTTTATCTATCGTAATATTTTTTAAATATTTTTCACCTATATGTTAAATGTACTACAGTCGTTAACGCTGTTCGTTACGTTTCTACGATAAATAATAAACATTTAGAACTCACTTTAGAATTAATGATATATGCGTTATTTTTTGATAAATCCTGAGCACCTTCATTGAGTTTTTTTATCTGCAAAAAAAAAAAGAGTTATACATCTTTATGAAAAGTAAAAATGAACAGTGTCTTAATAATAGCTTCCTATATTCTTTCAAATCAGTTACTTTCGATTTCTTTTCGACCTCGTTAGCAATTTATTTTTCATTTTCACTGTGATTCATACAATTTTTTTTGCATGCATGCAATTCCACGCGTGTCGTGATCCCGCCAAAATACTATACACGCGTCTTGTCGTAGGCGTCTCAAACCAGTTATTGTCTTAGAAGTACACACACACACACACACACACTACGATCCTATTTACTTTCACATCCTTCGGTTAAGATCACGTTTCACGATTAAAGCCTCAATCCCTTCCCGAGTCGAGGTTTGACTCGGAGCAAATAGGAAAATTGGAACTGTTAATTAATTTCGATACCTGCTTAACGGTCAATCAACCTACGTGCAACCATAACAAGTTTAATGTAAACACTTCAATTCGTTTTGTAACAGTTACAAAATTTAAAATAATATAATAATGAAAACAAATATTAACTGATCATTAATTTGGCAAAAAATGTATTCCGTTTTTAGTCTATAAGGAATATCTTATTTGAATAGCTTACAATTATCAACATAAATAAGTTTATAACATAACCATATTACTATTTACCAACTAAATATAATAAAGTATTATCAATACATATGTAGTTGAATGGCTCAGTGCAAAAACAAGTTAAATACTTTTATTTTATTTTATTTTTTTAATTAAGCACGTTTGACCTTCGAACTTGTCTAATGTTTTAATAATTTATTGATTACTTAGTATTACATAAGATCATGGTAATTAAATAAACAAATATATTTCATTCATTTAGACTCAAATACCGAACCATCATAACAACTTCTATTTTTTTATATCATTAGCTTTTATTTAATTGACTTCTTTTTTAATTTTACATCTAAATAATTTGCGTTACATAAATCGTACATGTATAAATGTTTATTATAATTCCCGATGACAAGATTTAAATATATTTACGCCTAATAATGAATAATTCCGACTTTTGAGTTACCTATTGTTATGTATAGTGATAATATATAATTTTTTCATATCGGAAATGTTTAAAGTTTTCACATATGATTAGGTAACATAAGAAGATTATATTACGCATTATTTCCCGCATGTTTTTAAATCTAAGTTACAAATATTTGCTATTGTAAAAATTAAAAATCTGTATATGAAACATAGATTTTTTTTAAATTAAAACTAATTAGTTCAAACTTATAATTATTTTTAATTTTTAAATGAACCAAAAAGTAATATGAAAAATTATAATGTATCACTATTACTTAAAGGTTTCTTGTTCAATAATGTTGTCTATCAAATTTTAAAGATATTGAACTTTATTAAAATTATTTTCATTGAAACTAAATTAATAAGAAATGGCGAATATACGAGTTTTTTTATTTTCAAAAACATTTCTATCAGTGTAAGTTTCATTTTCTTACACTGGCGCCTTTTTGTCGACGTATTGATATTACCTCCAAGCAATTCCTTTATGTTATTTTAATAAAAAACCTAAACTTTTCTTCAATTATTAATTTTTAATTATTGATAACGTTTCTAGCCTTCCTTATCATTTTACTTAATGAATTCTTTTTAATTTCTTTATAGGAACCCTCTTGAACCATTTTTGATACTCTATTAGAAATAATCTTTTTTCTTCAGTATTACTATGGAATTTCCCATTGCATTTAAATAAAAACAGTTTTCATTTTTTAAGAACTGTATGAGTTGTGAATGTTTTTAATTTTTTCCTATTTCCTCTTTACTAACAACAGACATTTTTTTTTAGAAAATTTAAACTTTCCCTTCTTGCTATGTTTTGATTGTTAAAATAAACACTTTTGACCCCCATTTCAGTGCCTACTAGAAGATCTTCCATCGAACATCTTTTCGGTAAAAAACTTGTTTTAAGACTCAACTGAAATATTTTAGTGTTTACAGTGGAAAAAACAACGTTAGAACAATTTTTAACTAAATTGTCTCCCTATTTTTAGAAAATAAAACTACATTACTTTTATTAAAATTATTTATTTGGCTCTTATTTTTATGCTCTGAAAGTAAATTTTGAATTTTTTTCTTAAATTTTTTTTTATTTTGCTTTAAATTTATGTTCAATCACTTGGTACATCTTCTGTTCAAATATTTCCCACTAAGTGATTGACTTAGAAAATTAGAAATTTTCAAATGTAATTAAAAGCTCCCATTTCTAATCTACTTTTATTACAATAATAATTCATAACCTCTAACTTAAGAATTTTCTTATTACTTTAGTAACGTATAAAAAAAATAATTTAAGAGATTTATTAGGTAACCCTAGAGATAGAGTAGAAGAAAGGGGGAAATAGAGCATTTATAAAATACAATGTGAAAGTTATAATAGAAGTTACGTACGACAAACAAAAAGAAATACAGGGGTCAGGTTTAAAGAGCAATTAAGAAACATTAAAAATTAAGAATTTGATAATTCTCTGGTGGTTGAACATTTATTGACACGTAATTACTCCATTAAAACCATAAAACTAATTAAAAACTTAAATAATTACAAAGAACATAATATAAGGGAGGCAATAGAAATGTATAAAAATAATTAAAAAATAATAATTATTAAATAATTTAAAAAAAATTAATTAATTGGAATCTTAGCCAACTTCAAAATTCATTATTAAACTTGTGTAAGCTTGTTAAATGTGTTAATATTACTTAGTGATAACGCCACTAGGAATGTAAAATGGGTTTTTATCCGTTTGGTTGGGTTTATAATAGTAACGTTCTCCAAACATGTATCCAAGATCCGTTAGTAATTTTTTTTTGTGACTTTTTGAGTTTAACATTTTTAGTATTTTTTAGTTTTAAATTAATAATTTTTTTAATATAGTTTTAATTATAAATAATGTTATCCATAAGTGATCAATTTTGGTCTATTATTTTAAAAAAATTTTCTAATCGAAATAGAATTATTAAGAAGAATACGTTAAATAACTTTTGAAGAGGTTATAAATAAACCTAATGATATAACTTTTTCTATTTATGACCCATTATAAATATAAATTTACTGAACTAAATTAGGTTATTGTCTGAGATGTCCACCAATATAAATTAATAGCAACAAATGGAAAAAAATTAATTTATGATAAAAATATAGAAAAAAAATTTTTTAATGATCATAATTGCATAAATGATTAGTATCTATTAAAGTAAAACATATAATATTTTCATAAATGAAACAATTATACAAACTCATATGCAATGATGACTCATATTTGAAATCGTGCAAATTTGACAAGGAACACTCCTTAAGTACAGGAAATCCGTCAATTCATTATAACTGATAAATGGGCGGTAGTTGGTAGTACTATGAGAATACAAGTGAAAGAAACTAAAGTCAATAAATATCTGTTTAATATTCCACTGCAAAGTTTTATTTTTCATACGTGTTAAAACACGTATTTGTACTTCTAAATAAAAAATTATTGCAATCGAGGTACGATATAGGTATGACCGTTATAAAAAGCGCCAATACGACTCACAAAAAAATCGTTTTGAAAATCTTCATTGGTTAATGTCTCGATTTATAATAATCGTATAACTATATAATGATTATACAGTTAATTAAATGCATATAAATGGTAAAAGTGTTATTTGCACAGTTCATATAAATCACCATACTTTTAATACGCAGATATTAATTATCATTTAAATTGTCATATAAAATAGGTGCAAAAAAATACAGTAACAAAAATTCAAACTATAAAAATTTCAATATAGGACACTATTATTATGCAGTTTTTTAATGAAAAACTCCGTATTAAAATTACTTAATCTTCAACTTTTCAAATTATTTTATTACCAGATTTAAAATTAAAATAATTACGCACACGGGACTTCACACGTACATTCAGTACTAATAGAACGATAGAGTTTTCGAATTGAATATAATTTTACAAAATAACAAGTTTACAATAAAATACTAGTATTTCTAGATTTTTATTAAGAATCCAACGTGATTATTATAATATATAACTATAATTGTTCTGTTGGCATATATTTTCGTAACGATAATTTCATGACGTAACGCGACGAATGATCTGACCCAGTCACATTTAACGTTTGAATATTAACTTAAGTGCTACATCGATAAGTTGCTTGATCATAGTTAATGCGGGTAATTAATTTATTACAATATGTATTCTCTAATATTACCAAGTTGTAAAATAAAATAAATTTTATGTTATACTTTGCATAGTTTTAAAGACTGGAAAACATTGGAAAGTCCCAATTCATTTAAATTTTTATTCCGTCACTTTTAGGAAACATAGGAATCATCATATAATATCCTATCGATATAAATTTGTCACCTACTCAAAAGCTAATCAGAACAAATACTATAAAATAAAGAGTGGTTTTAAAAGTGATTAATTGTTTTTTTGAATTATTATTTATAAATTCTAACTTTAAGCTTTTGAGAATATGCTCGATTATGAAATAATACATACTAATGATACTGAATCAATTTTAATAATAAAGTATATAATTTTAGTCTCAATTAGTATATAAGTTACTTTCATGCTCTGATTATTATACCAATTGAATGAAAATTTCATTTATTTAACTATAGTTGGACATAATACTAATTATGGTAGCCAATTATTATCCAAAAAATTTTATTTTATTTAAAAGAGATACTAAATTAAATTTATATTGTTTAACTTTATAGGTATTGATTTTACAACTTTTAAGATATTTCATGAAAGTAAAAATACATTTATGATTTAAACTCAATCCCTTCATACTTGACCATTCCAGTTTGTTTCAAAATATATTAAAAAAATGATTTTTACCTTAATACCCAAACATAAAAATAAACGATTAATAAATTATTATAAATTTCGACATAATGTTAAATTAAGGATAAGTATAAAACTGAAATAAAATTATGTCTAATATTAAATTTAATAGTTTAATTCACTGTATAAATAAACTCAAATAATTTAAATAAAATTTACTTTGCGTTTTCATTTGGGTTATAATGCAAATAATCAAATGTTGAGAACAACAACTGATGTATTGATTACCTAATAATAGTAATTTCCAGTATTAACAATAAATGAATCACAGGTATTATTTTAGCCCCATAGAGTAGTTATAATATAACATTTTTAAAATTATAATGTAAGGTAAATTCAACATCACTAATGGTAATTTAATCGAACACAATATTTGTTTGAGCTATAAATTCAAAGTTCTTAAGTTTATGTAATAATTAGTTCATAAACGTCAAGTTAAAGAAATAGAATTGTAGGATTAAAAATCTGATATTCTATTTAAGGTACCAAAATTAATAATTCTACGTGTTCCTAATTTTTCATTTTAAACACTCTAACGGTTAAATGACGTACTAAGTACCATCGGTTGAATGAACTCGGCAATCTTCTTTTTCAAATCTAGTAATATTAATATTTTAAACTTAATATTTTCGACATATTTTATTTTTAATAACAAACCGCAAACTTTAACGTAACCGGTTCGTTTTATTGCCTTGGGGTGTCCTAATGTTATCGTAATTATATTATTGTTATTAAACCGTTTATCCAAGTTGTCCGGTCGTGGCAATGAACCAGTGAAAGTACTGAAGGTTTAGAGAAAGTAGCTAAAGATAGTTAGAATACTTTATTGTTATTATTATTATTGTTATCATCATCATCATTATCACCGTTTTTAAATTAAGCATGTTTGACCTTCTAACTTGTCTAACGTTTTATTAATTCATTGATTACTTAGCGCTACACAACATCATGATTATTAAACAAACAAATGTATTTCATTCATCTTAGACTACGTATACCGTACAATCATAACAACTTCTATTTTTATTATATAAATAGCTTTTACTTAATAGACTCCTTATTAAGTGTTACAACAATTTGCTATTATAAAAATTAAAAATCTGTATGTAAGATATAGACTTTTTAAAATTAAAATTCCAATTATCTCAACCTTATAAATGTTTATACTAATTAAATAGACAAAAAAATATTAACGTAATATGATAGACTATGCAATATAATAATGCATCACTATTACTTAAGGTTTCTTGTTTAATAATATTCTCTATCAAATTTCAAAGCCATTTAACTTAATTAAAATTATTTTCATTGAAACTAAATTAATAAGTAACGGTAAATATACGAGTTTTTTTATTTTTATGAACATTACTATCAGTGTAAGTTTCATTTTCTTACACAGGCGCCTTTTTATCGACATAGATATTGTTTTTTTATCATGAGCAAAGCCTCCAAGCAATTCCTTTTATGTAATTTTTAATTAAAGAAACCGATATACTACTAAAGTGGAAAAAGATATTTAATTTTAAATAACCACCGGAAGCATAGACAAAATACTAAACATACATATGCATCGGGACCATTTCTCTTATATGAAATTTATTTATAACTCACCAAGTCTTTGACTCTACTTGAATTTTTATTCGAAGGTGATAGGTTTTCGACAGATTCTTTGTCCATCTAAAATAAAAAATAATACAATATAAATTTTCTGTATATATTTTAATGTATTATTATCATATCTAATGTTATAATCATAGACTTATCTCAAGTATATGATAGAAGAAGAGACAGTTATAACTTTTCTTCTTAATTATAATCAAATTAAAATCAAATAATAATTAGTTACATTTGTTTAAAATTAAAATCATATAAAAAATATTAGTCACGAGTAACCAACTTTTATTATATAGTTATAGTTGATTTCAATTATTAGTTTTATTAAGATAGATAGGCAGTACTAAAGGTAATTAAAAATTAATTATTTTGTCTCTTATTTCTAAATATAATTCGTTATGTCCAATCAAAAGATATAAAAAAACAAAGCTATAATATTACCTAAATACCTTTTCTAAATTCGTCTCCAATACCAAATAAGCAGACAGATTAATATATTACTGTGAATGTCAAATAATTATCCAGCTATAAAAATATAAGTTGATACTAAAGATTCACTAATAAGTTATTTATTATACATTATTAAAAAGGTTGTTATAGTTTCTAAATTAATATTAAACATTTGATTAAATAAAGCCCATAACTTGATGCCTGAAAGAAAAAACAAAAAAACTCCTTATGAGTATTGATGGTTCATTATCCTTATGGGTTTTATACAGATGCACATCACATATTTATAAATGAACTCAAGAGAAATGTGTAGAAATCGTGAACTTGAGCGTGTCAGAAAAAAAAAGTTTTTATCAGGCGATAGCTCTTATTGGATAATTAAATATTAAAATAATTAAGTGTACGCCAATTTGATGCAATATAATTAGCAACATATGATAATAATTATGTGCTTTAGATGCCAACGAAACAAACATTTTAGACAAAATTATATCATGTGTAATTTTAAAAAGCAAAAAGGAGTATTATAATGTTCTCCATTTATGTTTACACCATTCTCTTTTTAAAGAAAAATTACATCGGCACTGAGTGCCATATTAATTGACGATGTTTAGTGCTAAATATTGACGTTTTCTTATGACATAACAGTTATCACATGTTTGTATCTATTTGCATTAAACAAATATTAATGCAGAAACACGTAATATATGCGAGAAGTCAAAAGTCTTACGTATCATTATGTATCCATTCTGTTAAAGCAACACTTAAGAAATATTAACTAATTGAAAAATGATTATCAGGCATGATTTTGTCAACTGTAAGAATTGAAAAGTAATATTAAATAATCGCATGAGTTTGCATATACCATTCATGTTTAATAGTTTTTAGCAGTGCAACAGTTATTTCGATCTTCAAAAAAAATCTCGAATTAAAATGCACTGAATAACATTTCAACTTTCATGGTATAAAAGTTATTTTCTAAAATTAATTGAGTACTCTTAATATATTGTATAAGATTTCTTTTAAAAAAAATGTTTATGGAAATTATATACATTATTATTTAATCTAATGATCTCTAAAAACATTGGCTCATCAATGTAATTATTTTTTACACTTTCATTCTTTTTAAAAGTACTTCAATGAATTTTCATTGTTGCTATCAGTCTTATTAATTTTCATGAAAATTAATTGTAAATAAATTAATTTTTGAATGTATAATTGAGCTAAACAAAATTACTTTGGTCTATTGCAGATACTTTTTATAGGGCACATTAGAAAATTCTTTATAACCTTTAGACAATTTTGATGTATTGTTTTACGTTCATAAACATATTGTATTTTAAGAAACCTAATTCGTTTTATATATTTATTGTTATATTCATTAACTATACCAAATAAATAAAAATTAAATTTCTTTGTCTATTCTTGATTTTATTAAAATGTATACTTTATTGCTTATAATTAACCTATTTATACTTATGATATATTTAATTTCAAATTTCACGAAGTAAGTAAATATTTTTAATTAGGTTATAAGAAAACTTTGTTTTAAATCTAATCTTTTGAGTATGTTTCCCATAAAATAGAGAACAATAATACATTTTGAAATGTTTGTACAGTTTCATTATATATTTTTAAAATAAATTTTACAGTTTTGGACTACGTTAAAAACATATTTTTTATTTGTCTTAAATAAGAAAATTAAATAAAATTTTTAACTTTTTTAAAATTTCAAAATAACCGTGTTTTAGCCCTTTTTTACAATATATTTTGATTGTTCGATAACAACATTAGGATAAGTACTTATTGAATTATAAGCATTTCAATACATAGTGTAAGTATGTATCGCAGGTAGGTACAGATCGTATTGGTGTATATTTATAATGCCTACTCCGCCCGCGATACATACTCACTGTATGTATTAAAATCCTTATAATCAATAAGTGTTTATCCGAAAGTTTTGACTAACCCATGCTCTTTAACAAACAATAGCAAAAAAAATGGTTTATAGAATAAAAATATTATTAGAATATAATTGTTTGAAAATTTTTTTATAACATATCATCAAACTAAAAAAAGCAGATCCCATTAAAGAAAATTAGAAATTAGAAAATTAATTAAAGAAAGTTTTTTTAAATTTGAAGCGATTAAATAAGAAATGATTTATCTATTTAATAATGTATTACAATTATTATTGTACAAATTATTTATGTACTGTAAAAGAAAAAGAAAATGTATTTTTTTAAATATATTACCATAAAAAGTTATGAACATTTCATTGCTCATTTTAGTACATTTTAAAATAGTTAACAATAATAACTATTCATTACGATAATTACGTAAAAGGATCATTATAATTAAAAATCTCTAAAAAGCGACGGGACAGCGAGAGCACAAATTATATTTACATAGTATTTTTGGTAATTTTATGTTTATTTTAATATTTTATGTGATCATATGCTATACGTTTTAATTCAATATTTGTGTGTAATGCTCGCATTTATGTACTTTTCATATGAATCCTTACTTTTTCATCTAATCATATTAAATTTTATAGTGCATTTGCATTCATAAATCACATATTAAGTCAAAGGAAATTTACCAGAAATATTAGGTAAAGGCTTTAACTACCTATAAGTATTCAATTATAAAAATAAAAAAGAAACTTAAAATTCAAAATAAAACAAAAAAATTGTACTTTTTAAATAAATATAATATTTTATATAATTATATAAAATAAATATAAATAGGAGAGGTGGATATATGTCATGAGAGATTTCCGCTACTTTTATACTAATAGTTGCAATTATTTTTATAAAAGTAGAAAAATACCTTGATGGAAGTATAGCACTACTTAGAAACATTATTGAAAAATATTTAGTTTATATTATTCCTACAGCTTGATCTTTTAAATCGTTAAATTAAATTTTTTATTAATTGTTCGAATTAAACGTACTTTAATCAAGTCATAGTTTTTTAAAACTTAATACGTATATACTAAAATTAACTTAAGTATGTGTTCAAGTATATCGGATAAAAATTCCTTAGTACATTAGTATTGATGGTAATATATTTTAATCGTGAGTTTCAAGACACGTGTAATATCAACAAGACATCAGGTAGTAAATGTATAACATGAGAATTTTTCAAATTACAGTTTTATTCTTCTTATTGAAACATAACATTGTGATAAAAACAATGCTACCCGTACGTTTTTAATACATAAAAAAAACCCGGGGTCACGTTCTTGCGCGCAATGGCCAAACATTGCAGTTGTCGTTTCACACGAGGAGGATGTGCCACTTATCACATTATACTGTTGTACGCCGCCGCTACGAGTATATAATAACCAGCAACGTGGTCCACTGACCCAGCTGTGAGAGTGTATTTCCCGTTACTGATTTTGTCTCTTCCTCCTTCCGCCATTACACTTAACATCCCCTCAATTGTATTTAAATGTCTTAAAAACTAGTAGTACAGCGTATTAATAGTTATATTACAGAGTGACATCATCGGTTGTCTAAATAAAGATTGGTAGATGTCCAGGAAGTAAACCGTCGCGGTGATCGTTGCCGAATTTCCTCGAGTTGTAATTTGTTAGAGATGGCTAACCTATTTTCCGTAAAAGGATACCTCGTGTCCCAGATAGTACATAAATGTCAAAGAACAATAAGCTAAATCCGAAGACGTGTTGTTATCCTCTACTTGGCTATAGTCAAAAGATTATATGGGCACTACAAACCGGCTGATGAAATTTAAAATTATGAGTACTTTACTTGGACCGAATACCAAAGTAATACTTATAATCAAGTTATCCGTTCGTACATAAAGAATTCAGTATAAAAATTGGTTAATTTTTTTTTTTTTTCGTTATTCTAAATAATGTTGTAGTGTTAATGTTTATCGATCACATGAAGACTGTCCGACAGTATTTGTTGAAATACATTACCTTTTTTTGTACTATTGTCAAATTAACGTTAAATATACGTATTATGGTTCATTAGTTTCTTTCAAAGTTAAAAATGAGATAATTAAACTTGTGCACTGCATTTTTTTTTACATTTCTATTTGAAAAAATGTTTACTAAGAAATCAACATTTAACTATTATTAGGAAAACAATCTTATTAATTCTGATTTTATATGAATAAAATATTAACAAGTCATGTTAATATTTTAAAACATTACATAATTTCCATCGAAAGAAGCAATAGTTTACGGAAAATATATTTACAGTATTTCAATGTTTCACGCATAATGAGCCTCACTAAATAAGCACAATCTTTTTTTAAATTTAGTATATCATATAGTACCTGCTATTACTCATAAATTTTCATTGTTATTTGTTTCACGTGAAAATTTCTCAGTCATCATATTTTAAACTGTTTTTGTTTAAACTAAAACTATTGAATGTTAAATTTTATTTAGAAATAACGTTTAAAAAAAGTAAAACGTATAATGACAAAATACATATGAACAGAAATAATGTATACGTGATGCCATAAGTTAAATAGTTAGTATTTAAAATTTACAAAAAAGTGTTTACAATAAAATTTTAATTACATGCAATATTTGAATACTAACTACTTGGTCAAGTACTGTTATTGTAGTACTT